TTCGGCTGGGGCTCTATGGGGCCACGAAACGTGTGAGGGGTGTGCCGAATTGGGTGTGGGTGACGCATGCGGGCGGCAGCACTGGGGCCTTCGGCGGAGCTCCTATGGGGCCACGAAACGTGTGAGGGGTGTGCCGAATTGGGTGTGGGTGACGCATGCGGGCGGCAGCACTGGGGCCTTCGGCGGAGCTCCTATGGGGCCACGAAACGTGTGAGGGGTGTGCCGAATTGGGTGTGCGTGGCGCATGCGGGCGGCAGCACTGGGGCCTTCGGCGGAGCTCCTATGGGGCCACGAAACGTGTGAGGGGTGTGCCGAAATGGAGGAGGGAGGAGGGAGGAGGGGGAGGAGGAAAGGAGAGGAGAGGAGGAGAGGAGAGGAGGACGCGGGGACCGTCTCTTCAAAACGAGGACCCAACACCACAGGATGGTTGGGAACAATGTTCTTAGAACATAAACCCGATGTGTTAAAACAAGACAGTCCCAGCCAGAAATGCTCTAAGAGCATTTCGTGGAAACCACAAAAGGTTCTTAGAACAGTGTTTGGTAGGGCGATAGGCGAGCCAGGACGCTTCGCCACTGCTTGACACACACACACACACACACTCACGCCACACACCAACCCTTGCAGCAAACAATGCTGAGCGCACGCTGCACCAGACTCTGGATCGTGCGCGGGCGCCCCGCGGGCACAAGACATCTGTTGTTGACAGGTGGGGGCTGGGGGGGGGTATTCAGGGCAGTTTTTAACACATAGGTTGTTTAAAAACATAGGATTGTTAATGCATTACTAATTTGTGAATAAATTTGTGCATGAACTCATCGTTGTCTTTAATGCTAAATCCTTGCATATTTTTTATACATGCTTCGCACGCGGAGCATGTATTAAAAACGGCACTGTATTGCCATGTGTTCAGTGCCTGATGTGGGACAAGGTCGCAGTGCCGACAGAACACTCGCTTGGCCGACCGCTGCTGCCCCGCTGCTGCTGCCGCGGAGCTCTCTCGCACCGCGCAGCGCCCCGAACCCCATGTCTTCCGCCATGAGCGGCTGGGGAACGACGGTGCGCGGACCCGTTCTGTCGCAAATGAGCCTCCAAACTGCACGGTGGTAATAGAGCCGGACCTACAGAAGGTCGTCCTCCAAGAACGTGGGACCCTCCGCTGGCCAAACTGCAGAACCTTCGAGGGTGCCCTCCCCCAGGATGCACAAGAGCATCCAACAAGCACGAAGAACATGAGGGTACCCTACCCGAGCCGACCTAGATCTGATACCTCGGTCCGACCGCACAGCATAAACTTCATTTGAGTGATAAGAAGGTCGGGATGGACGACAGTATCTTGTACATGCATTGGACGCACAATTCAACTCACGATAAGACACACATCGGAACAATACAATATTGCTTTGCATCCCCACCGCGTTCATCTGACGATCTATCGATCTCACGATCTATCTACCAGGACAACCATCGAGACAACCATCAGGAAAATCATCTAGACAAGCATCAGCACAACAATCCCAACGCCGTAGGAAAGGCTCCGCCGTGTTTTCAGGCGTCGGAGTGTTGCACTCCGTCGTGCCGTTGCGCATCCTCCTGCTGTGACCTGCCGTGCTGCTACGCGTTGCGGGACAACCATCCGTTCCTCATGATGCTGCGTGCACGAACAAAGCCACGGAAAGCACGCGTTGACAATCGTTGTCTGTGTTTCGCGCTGACCAGGGGGGCCACCCTTCTGACTGATTGATTGGCACTTCGGTCGAGGTGGGATCCCACCTCATGAGCTCATTGGCGTTCATGCCCTCTGCTCGGGTGATGCCTGTGTATTGGGAGGGCGGGTGAGAGTGAGCGAGGCAGCCATCCTTCGGGGGGTAGCCCGATCATTGCACCTTAAAATACACACCCTCTCCTCAAAACGACCAGCGACAAACCCAAGTCAATGAGGGCCCCCCACCATCCCTGTCAAAAACAATGCAATGCAAAGTGCACGTTGCGGTAAATTGTTGGACGATGTTCGGAGGGGGCGCGAGCAACTTGTATTGTTGCTTGAAAGGGGCGGCGGGGGGCGGGGGTGCTGGCATATTGCCTGTTGCGTGCACGCCCACCAGACACCATGATGGCCACCCCACCGCAATTGCGCATTGGACTTCGACAACAATTGTGGGGGCGTGATGGTGCCGACATATTTCCGGCGGGCTGGAGTGAGCGAGACGGCGTGCGGGCAGGGATGGTATCGAATCAGCGCCCCCTATGCATACACACACCCTTCCCCAGGTGACTGGCAGCCAACCCGAACCAATGACAACACCACCCCACCATTCCTTTTTCCCTACCTAGGCTCTGCCTAGAAGGGTTCTTACTCGGTATGCTTAAAGGACCGGGCAATGCAACTCGCCCCGGGCGGTTCCCCCAGTATCCGCCCTGCGGTTCCCCCAGCTACGCCCCCTTAGCTTAGCGTTGCCTATCTCATCTTAGCTTAGCCTATCGCATCTTAGCTTAGCTGAGCTTCATCTTAGCTCAGGTCTATCTTAACTTAGCTTACCTTCACCTTAGCATCGCTGAGCTTTAGCATAGCAGAGCACAGCATAGCATAGCGTAGCGTAGCATAGCATAGCGCAGCATATCACATCATAGCACAAGCCAGAATAGCATAGCATAGCATAGCGCAGCTTGGCATAGCATAGCATCGCATTGCATAGTTAGCTTAACATAGCACAGCGCCGCATGACATAGCATAGCTTAGCATGGCATAGCATAGCATCGCATAGCATCGCATAGCGCAGCATAGCATAGCATAGTATAGCATAGCATAGCGCAGCATAGCATGGTATATCATAGCATTGCATAGCATAGCATAGCAACGAATGCTGCTTTCCTAGGGGCTCCAACTTCTAGGTCGGGTCGCACTGGGGTAATTAAGAACAATACAACGTGCACTTTGCGGATAAATCTGGAACATGCGCAGGCACCCCGCGATCACTTAGCATGGGCGCTTGACAATGGCGGCGGGGGTACCAGCGTATTGCCTGCTATGCGCAGGGCCACCAGCCCCAACAAAAACGATACAAAACGCACTTCGCGGAAGAATCTGGATCATGCCCGGGCCCCCCGCGATCATTTAGCATGGAGTTTGACAGGGACGGCGGGGGTGCTGGCATAAAGCCTGCTGCGTGCAGGTCCACCAAATTCCATGATGGCCACCTCGCCGCAATTGCGCATTGGTCTTCGACAAGGATGGTGGGGACCGACGTGTTTCCAGGTGTGTACTGTCGCGTGCGGCTGCGCCTGGCACACTCTGCGCATGCCCCAATTGTGGCGCACCTGGCGCGGCTGGAATATGCGGCACATGTGGCGCACGTGGGGCACGTTGCGCATCTGGCGCGCCAGGCGTGCCTGGCACCTTTGGGCATCAGGGGTGCCTGGCGCACCTTTCCCCGCATGGCGCACCTGGCACGCGTCGCTCACTTCGCCCCAGCGTCGCGCACATGGGGTCTGTTTTTTGATTCCCAGTAACTGGCCATTCATAGGCGACCGCTGAACATGCTGATGCTCGGGTGCTACTCATGTGTTGGGAGGGCGGGTGGGAATGAGGGAGACAGCTTGCGGTCAGAGGGGCCAAGAAGGCATCCGCGAGAAGGCACAAGTCATTGATTGTCCTTGGGTTTGGGCCTCCGGGGGGGGGGACAATGCTAATTGAGGCCCTCCCTCCGCTGATCGATCGGCATTGAAATGGCCCCAAGACGGCCCGAACCGCTCCCAAGAGAGCCACTAAGAGTGCCCCGACGAGGCGCCCAGGAGGACCCCAAGAGGCCACCAAGCGACGACCAGGTGACTCCAAGAGGCCCCCAGGAGCACCCCGAAACGCCCCAAAGGCCCCTGGAGACGGCCAAGAAGCTCCCAAGAAGTCCCAAGAGGCCTCCAAGAGGCCACCAAAAAAGACCCGAAGAAGCCGCCAGGCGGCCCACGAGAGGCCTCCCAGAGACACCGAGAGACATCCCAAGAGATCCCGAGAGGCATCCAAGAAGCCTCTGGCCCACGGAGGCCCCCCGAACTCTTCGCATGATGCCACGCTTCCCTGATAGGGGCAGCTCCTCTGGGCCTCGTTCCTGGATGGGCTGGCGGGGATAGTTTTTGGTACGCGGTCGCGCGGAGAGGGTCGAACGCCGGGCAAACAGAGGCAGACTGCGCCACCAGCGAAGGGAAAGACCAAGGCAGAGCAACGCCAGGCACAGAGGGCGACGGAGCTCAGCGCGGCTTTTTTAAAATCATTAAAATCACTAAGCGGCACCGGGAACACGTGGAGGTAGGTGCCGAGCAGGAAACCGAATCCGAAGAGGGACCCCACGGCGACGATGGATTGAAGTCCGGGCGCCACGCTGACCCAGAAGGCGGTGACGGCGGAAGAGAGGAGCCCATGCAGGTTCCCCAGGTGACCTTGCAGAGCACGCGGTCCTTGACCCAGTACAAGGCTGGTGGGGATACTTTTTGGTACGCGGGCGCGCGAAGCGGGTCGAACGCCAGGCAAGCAGGGGCAGGCTGTGCGGCTGGTGGGGAGACGCGAAGCGTGAAGAATTCAACGGGACTCGAGCCAGCTTTACATCGATGATCTGCAAAAACGCACTAAATTTCCACGGATGCGCGTGGCGGCGGTGACTCGCCGCAGGCGTCTTCGATAACAAGCGCAAGACCCGATCCATGGCCCAGGGTCTCAGAAAGCATGACCCGGATGAGACTTTTGCTTCTTCCCATTCAGCGAACGTGCCTGTGTTGCCCAACTACATGCACGAGGCGAACCGGGAATTACGCGAGGGCCAACCTGCGATAGGCGAGCCAGCACGCAAAAGCTTGGCCGGTGCAGAGAAACTGTATTTTGCTTCGCCCTGGCACCGCAGAAGGCCTGTCCTGCGAACGTGTCCGAAACTGGGGCCCAAAACTCTCTTGCACAGCTACGTGGGTCATCTCGCAAACATGGAGCCGGGTGAGAGCATCGATCATGCGGGATCCTCCATGAGCCAGCTGATGATGGACCCCATCACGTCGACGCCTGAGGGAGGAGGAGGAGGAGGAGGAGGAGGAGGAGGAGGAGGGTAAAGAGGAGGAGGGAGAGGGAGGAGGAGGAGAAGGAGGAGGAGGAGGAGGAGGAGGAGGGAGGAGGAGGAGGAGGGGGGGAGAGGGGAAGAGGAGGAGGAGAGAGGAGGAGGACAAGGAAAAGGAGGAGGAGGAGGACGAGGAGAAGGAGGAGGAGAAGGAGGAGGAGGAGGGAGGAGGAGGAGGAGGAGGAGGAGGAGGAAGAGGAGGAGGAGGAGGAGGAGGAGGAGGAGGAGGAGGAAGAGGAGGAGCAGAAGGAGGAGGAGGAGGAGGCTGAGGAGGAGGAGGAGGGGAAAGCCGCGGGGGGGGGGGGGCACTGCACGATCACCACGCCCTCGCGCAGGGCGGCCGCAGAGAACAACGGAGTTTCATCGACTGCCCATCCACTCTGGTTGTCCGATTCCCACCTGCGCACCTGTCTGCACGAGCAACATGAGCTCATGCCGTGCCCACGCGCGTCGAAGCCCCTCCCCCGAGCACTGACCGTCCCAGCGGCCCGCAGACGGTCTGGCTCAGAGGACCCTCTGATGCCCTCAGGCGGGCCCTAACACTGACTAGGGGCCTGCTTTCCTCGCAGTAAACGGGATTTAACCGGATTCAGCGTACATAGACGGGATTAAGCCGGATAAACCTGGATATCGGACCAGGGCGAAGTCAGAACTTGACCTCCCAGGAGCTGCATCTGAACGTGCCCCTGTCGAGCGTCCCGAACCACGGTCCGACCGACACACTGGGGGAGCCGTAAACACGCGCACACACACACACACACACACACACACATCGGGGATCTTCTGACCCGGGTCAATCCAGACCCGGGTCAGCAGGAAACCAAAAAACTGCAGTGCAGGAAAACAAACTGCAATGCAAGTCTTCGCAAACCCGGGTCAGCCAATAGGCGCGGCCGCCTCGCGGCCACGAGCGGCTCGCTAACCCGGGTCAGCCAGAGGGATTCTTCGCAGGATCCTGCAGGATCTGGTGCCCTGGCTGACCCCCGTCTGCATTGACCCCCATCTCAAGGCTCCCGAACACACACACACAGACACACACACACACACACACACACACACACACACACACACACACAGACACACACACACACACACACACACACACACGGGGCCCCGCGGGCACGCCCGCCCGCCTTTCTGCCACGTGAGCCGCCCGACGAAGCCGATCAGGACTCTGTCCGGGTCCTGCGCCGCGCGGGGGCTAAAAGGGGGCGGGAGAGAGATAAGGAGGAAGCCAGGGCGGGGATAGAATCGGGTGAGGAAAGATCGAGGATCTCTGAAATCTGGCGACTCTGGAGGATATCTCGGGCGCCGCGGCCTTCCAGAAGCGTTCGGGGTCCTGGAACGCTCTGGAACGGATGTATCCTCGTCCTGGCCCTGTCCGAAGATTGGGAGCGCGCACGAGGGCGTGGAGGGAGCGGGGAGGGTTTCTTCAGAGGAGGCTGCTTCTTGGAAGGCGCCAGCCTTGCCTCTATATAGCAGGCCCGCGCCTTTCTAAGAAACAGGGGTGCCTCTGAGAAGGCCCCCTCTCCCCCCGCCCCCTTTTCTGCGCGCGGCGGAGAAGAGACCCCCCAGATCCGTGCGTTGCATTCGCTTCACGACGGGCGCTTTCGCCGGGCCTCGGGCCCTGGAAACCTTCACGGATCAAGCCCGGTCGAAAGCGGGGCACAGAAAAATGGGGACTGGAGCTCCGGTCGCGATTGCGCTGCGATGTCGCGACTTTCTCGGAACTTCGGATTTCAAGGCGGAGGGGGAGAGAGGGAGAGAGAGAGAGAGAAAGAGAGAGAGAGGGAGAGAGAGAGAGAGAAAGAGAGAAGAAACAAAAATGATAGAGAGAGAGATAATCACGTAAGTAAAATATACATATATATATATATATATATATATATATATAGGGAGACAAAAAAAAATGAGATACCCCCCCCCCCCACACACACACACACACACACACAAAAGAAAGGGATAGAGATGGAGAGAACGAGAGAGATATAGAGCCCCCCCCATTATATACATATATACTATGTATACACACAATGTATATATAACACAAAAAACAACAACCAAAAAAAAAACAAAACAAAAAAAATCCGCCTGTCAGAGGCCCGCCTCCTCACCCTACGACGACCACCAATGGCGGTCGAGAGGTCTCGTCGCCACGCGCACCTGTCCTCCACCCTCCCACCCGGCAGAAACCAGGGTGGGTATGGGGGGTTCACGAGGGGAAATGGGACAAGAAGCACGAGATCACAAACGTGGTAAACATCGGGTGGGAAGAGATGCGATGAAGAAGACAGGTCGAGACAGGTGCCTGCCTAAGGTAAAAGCCGCCTGGGGGTTACCCGCTGTGGCTCGCTCTCGGGGTTGGGAGGCTGAGGGCCGCGGTGGCTGCTTTTTTGGGAGGCGAGGTGCTGCAATTAGCGTTTTGGAATGGGGTAAACCTCCCAGGCGGCGCTCCTCTCAAGGAGTCTATAAATTAGGGGCGCACAGCAGTGGAACAACGAGCGAGGAGGCGGCGGGTAGGTAGATGGAACGGCAGCGCACTGGCCCTGGTGGTTCTGTAGGAAGAAGCACGGCGGTAGGCACAAAACCAAACACCTGGCACTGGGGGAAGGAGGCGGCGGGCTTGCCAGATGGAAAAGGCTGGAGCGCGCGGCCGAAGGCAAGGGCCTCAGCTCCTGCGATTCGGACCCCCGCTAGCTAGCAGTCGCTAACCTGGCTGGTACCCTCCGCCTCCGAGGAGGAAGTAGGGCAACCAGTCCAAGGTAATGTCTGCTGTCTGTGGGGGGGTCACATCGCGTGGATCTGGTTTGTCATCGATTTCCCCAAACGAAGGCAGTAAAACTGCAACTCTCGCCGGGGGAAGTGAATGGCGCCTGCGAGGAAAGGTGGGGTGCCGACGCAGGAGAGGTGAGGCGAGGTGGTGAGGACATGCCACATGCTGGTTTAGAGCAAGCTATGCCGCCGACGAGGAGTGCCCCCTATCCCGCCCATGGCCACCCCAACCATCCCGACTCCACATGAAGGGGGGGGGGGAGGGTTCGCGGGGCGAGGCACGAGGACCAGGAAAGTGGGGAAGGTTGGGAAGAAACATGGAACCTGATCGCAAACGAAATAGATGTAGGCGGCGCAATTGAAGTAGTCGCCGTGCCCTGCGCCTTCCTCGCGAAGACATTGCCGCCATTCGTCGGTACTCTGCCGCAGGTGAGAGAAAGGTGGGAAGGTGCGCGCGCTCGTTGCGAGGTGAAGGGATCGCACGGTCAGCCGCTGCAAATCGGTCCGACCCTGGGGCATAGCCTCAGTCTGGCGTCCAAATGGGATAATCCTGGTTCGCTCGGAGTAGGTCGAGTCGTGCGAGTCGGAGAGAGAGTCAGAGTGCGAATGCAAGAGATCGGTTTGAGCGCAGGTCGGGGAGGTCGGAAAGGGCGCGGTAGGTTGTGCCGCGACGGCGTCGGGCACGCGGGCACCACGTTCGGCCGTCCAGGCCTGCGGGGTGATGGCGAGGCGCAGTCGTTGAGCTTGTCGTGGAACTTGGAGGCGGAGTCCTTGCCGTCGGATCCCCTTCTGCATGTCGAGGGCCTGGTAACTGACCTGCGGTTCCCCCGCCATCGCGGCGAGGGCGTCGAGCTTTTCCTGGGCGTCGTGGTGGTGAGGGCGGCGTTCGGTGATGATGTCTGATTGAAGGGTTTGTTTGGTGCTTCGCATGTTGTTGGTCTGAGTGATGGTAGCCCGTGCCCATAGGTCGTTATTGCTGCTGTAGGACGGATTGAGGATTGTCACCTCGACGCCCTCGTTAACCGCGATGGCGCCATGCGCGATGGAGTCCTCCAGCTTGGCACGGCGCGAGTGGCGCATGGTAGCTCCCCTGGGCAAGGTGATTGTAGTGGGGACCTTCTGGTGGGTGATTGTCGTGATGGGCGACCATCCAGTGGGCTTCTGCGGCTGGGCTTGAATGGCAGGCGGTCGATTGTCGCTAGCTGCGGGGGCGCTGTTACTTGGCGTCGGGCCGCAGCTGCTGAATGCGGCAATGCGCGCGCGGTGTTCCCCTGGATCGTGCTTCTGCTGTGCGGTCTTGTCCACGTAGTCGATATTGTCCTATGGCTGTTCTGCTGCGTCTTCCTTCGCGGCCGGCAGGGCACGCGGGGCTTTGAATCTCACTGGTTTCGTTCCTGAGATGGGCCCACCTCGAGGGGGGACTCGGCGATCTGGGTTGGGAGTCGCCTGCAAGGGAGTGGTTGCTGACGTTGTGCCGGCGATTGCACCGCCACTGCTCGTAGGCATGGCAATGTCCGATAGGTGGGCTGCGTCGTTGCTTACGGTCATCCCTATAGTTTCCTCCTCGCGGGCTCTTTCCCCCTGCGAGGACGGCCCCCGCGTCGGAGGCATCTCGATGTAGATCTCGCGCTCGAAGATGCCGCGGTCGTCGCACGGCGCCAAGATTGGCTTGGGGCTGCGAATCTGCTTGACGCGGTGGGCGATGTGGCTTACGCGTGGAGGGCGCGGGCCTCCCTCTCGCATGGGTGCGACCACGAGCATGTTGTTGCCGAAGATGGGGAATGGCCCGGAGTCCTGGTTGACCTTGAGGTGGGAGAAGAATGCGCCTCCTGCGTGGTCCCTGCACCACAGATGCGATCGGTCGACCCAGTCGTGCGCGTCTGGATCCCGTTGGCAGTCGGTCCGCATCTTGTCGCGTAGGTCGGCCTCCTCTCGCATCACTGGGCGATCTGGCACGGGAGGGCGGTCGTTGAAGGATGGGGGGCACCTTCGCCTGGGGCTGTGGTAGGAGCAGCCGCCCTCGCTGATGCTGAAGGCCTCGATGTTCTAGTCGGTGAGCTGCCGAGTGCAGCATGGTTCGTATGCGACGTCGCCTGGAAACTTCCACTGGGTAGCGCCTGTCTCCACTTTGCGGTAGCAGGCGAGGCGCCTTGTTACGTCAGCGTGCGCGGCCCAGCCCGGCGGCTGTTAAGCGCGGCGGGATGGGTCGGGCCGTAGCGCTTCACCATGCTGGTAAAATGGTGGGGCGCATGGGCTGCGGAAGTATCGGTTGGCCCCTGGCGCCACTATAGTGATTTGTATGGGGGCCCTGCCCAGGGGTGGGCCAGGCGGCGGCGGCGGCTGGTTCGCTGTCGGGGTCGCGTCCAGGTCCTATATGAGCTGGAAGACGATCGGCATAGGTAGTGGGATGGTTTGTTGGACCTGTGGTGTAGATCTTCGCTGGATGAGCTGCAGGTCGGTATTTGTGGGAGCAGCGCGGGCCGGCCGCCGTGCCCGTCGTGGTCGGGCGTCTGGAAAAGCCGCATGCCACTCGGGGGAGTAGCTCTGGGTCCAGTTGATGGAATGGAAGCCTGCGTTGAGAAGCTGTTGGCAGTGTGAAAGGAGGTGGCGTGCACCGTGGCCCTCCTCGTTCTCGATGAGACATTGCCCTGCTGCGCGCGCATCTTGCTCGGAAAGGTCGTCGACGCCGGCGACCTATTTTTCTGCATGACGTCGCCAAGTATGATGTCAGCAGGTTGCTCGTACTCTGGCGCTTCGTAGCCAGGTCGCTGTCTTACCTCAGTTAGTGCATCTCCGTCTGGGGTGAACTCGACAACTTGGCGGCCTCCGCGTGGACGTTGGTGGCCCCGTCGGTTCGCGCTGTACATGTCTCCGAAGAAGTGGCGATCCCCTGCAGCACCTGAGCTGGGCATGCGATGAGGGCGTTGTCAAAGATGGCAGGCCATTTGGGCAGGTCGCTGATGGGCGCGCTCACCTTTAGGATCGTCACGCGGCCGATTTCCTTTGCAGGTAATGGTGGCGTTCGGCATGTGCCCGCCCATGCTGATAGGAGTGCGACGCCCCGTCGGTGGCATAGATATACTTGTACTCGCTGTCCTCTGAGGTCTTTCTCGCCGCAATGTAGTCCACCGACTGTCTGTGGAGTAATGCGGCGGAGATCGATAGGGAGGAGGGATTTGCCCGCGCATGGATGTAGCACCCCTCCCCCGCGGCTTTCCACGACGTCTCTTGCATACGCGACTAGTATACCAATCTCGGAACCGCGGCGCAAGGTGCCGTGCATGTCGGTGGTCGCCACGATGCATCTCTTCGGGATGCATCGCTCGACGTTGCCGTGGATGGCTTTGCGCTTTATATATTCGAAGTTGTGGCGCGTCTCCATGCCCTTCTTTCTAAAGGCGCATAGGTTCTGA